CAAAAATCTATTATAGTGTAACTAACTTGTAATTTTTATATAAATTATACATAAGATAATAGCAGGTAGTTCAATTCAGTCTTCTTTGATTTCACTTAGAAGCTAGAGTAAATATTAAATCTAACTAAATGAAGTGAGATCTCAAAAATAAGTTCATTGTGATACACTAGTAGTCTTCTTTTTAAATTATTACAAAAATAATTATAAATCTGTGGTCTTATAAATCGTACGATAAGGAGCTTAAAACTTCTGGTTTGGGTCGTCGGCTAGTATCTATTATTGTTTATGTTCAAGTATTAGAGATAGTACTTTTTAGGTAAATATATTAACATAGCTAAAATAGAAGATCATCAGCACCATTTTTTCTGATAACACCTGAAAATAATAAAAAGACTATGGCAAACTCCCCCTATAAAGAAATATATGGGCTAGCCTATGTGGCCACTAACAGTGGACTTTTGATAGGCTGTGATGATGATGATGAATATTAGTCATGTGGAAAGAATGAACGAGGAAAAAGTGACAAACCAAATTTCTATTGCACATATGAATGGTAGAGTCGGGAAGGAATGCCCTAGACGATGGTTTATCGACCATATTGGTGATATATTGAAAATGGGCGAGATCAGGAGTAACCTTAATCGATGAGCGTGTATGCGTAGAAATGTGGATGTAAATGAGGGTAGAGAAGTGTATCAGGATCGTGCTAAATGAAAGTCCGTAGTCTTTGCCTACCCCTTTGAAATACTGGCGTGAGTGTTTATGGATTATGGATATTGTACAAAAGATAATTTCGTGCCTTAAATACTTCGTGCCTTAAGTACTTTGACTTGCAAAGTCGATATAGCTCAAATTCTGAGCGCTCTATTCATACTCCTATGTTCAGCTGTGGATATTTCACAGACTGTAAAGAATTAATGATGAATAAAATGTTAATAGTAAGATAACAGCGGTAATAAAAAAGATCATCTTAAAGTAGACATGTGCATGGCGTTAAGATATTTGAATTAAAACGTTAATAAAGTACAATTGACTAAAAAGACGGATACAGACAAAATGAATTATGTACCCTATTAAAGTTAATTGATTCAGATAAATAGGGGTTAAAGTATAAAGCTGCCGTTTGTACTTGCCACTTAGAATTACAATTTTATCAGAATTGTCGAAGATTCGTGATTAAAACTTATTTACACAAAAACCAAAATTATAAATTCAAAAAACTATGACATTCTATTCATTTTTCGTTTTTGTGTTCATTATAATAAGATTTGAACATGGAAACCTCAAAAAAAAAAAGAGTAATTTTCGAATACTCGTCCCGACGTGGTTCTAACTTGATCAATCTTAGCTAACTTTTTTATATTTATGTTTGAATAAGTTCGTAACTTTTAAAATATATAAGATATTTTTCCAACTCGGACGAGGATTGAAATACAAGTTTTAAATTACTCTAAAAATTATCATTTAATCGTAATTCTATGTAATATCTTGCTTGTATTATGTTTTATTATTTATTTTTTTAATGTTCGATTTAAAGATCTTTATTTCTCAATAAGACAATCGTCACTTACATGAGAACAATAACTATATAAACCTAGTAATAAAAAATTTAGTACGGGTATAAATAAAACTTTGTTGAATGTCGCTTTTAAGAAGCGAATATCTTCGTTGCTTATTCAAATTATAAGGTGGTGGTCCAAGTTCAATAATGTTTTTTAACTTTTATTTAATAATGATTTAGGTTAGGTATTTAGCTGTTGTGAGTATAGATAGGCAAGTAACTTCTGTTTAAAAGCATTCAAAGATTTCGCCTCCTTTGCAAATTTAGATAGTTTGTTATATAACTGTGCTCCTTATTACGTTATATTATTTTTACCATAGTTTCTTCTTAAAGGCGGCAATACAAAGTGACTAACTCGGCATGTTGTATATTTGTTTGTTTGCTTCTTTGTTAAAAACGTGAGTTGTGTGTGGATTAATTTATGTTTTATTTTGTGTATTAGTATGCATGTGCTATATGTATAAAGTTGAGTAACCTTCAACAGTTTAGGTTCTTTATATATTGTTTTAGTTGGTGTTAAATCATAGTGTAAAGTCATAGTTATACAAAATATTTATGATACGGTTTTGTAACACTTGGAGAGGTATAAGTTTGGTTTTGGCTGCATTACCCCATACCTCTACAAGGTAAAGTAAGTGAGGTTTTACTAGAGAGTAATATATTAGGATTCAGGTTTGTTACTTTAAAGACTCTTATTACCGGAAATGAGACATTTTATCTTAGTACGTAAGGGTGACAATGCTTCTGCATTTTTATTCTTAATTGAAGATAGATGTTAGATAAATATGGGCCACAGTGTTCATTTACCATCAGGAATGCATGATGGTTTTTCACCCATATTCTATAAATAACGTCTATAATTTATAAAAAAATATAGCTTTTTCTTTGAATTGTTACATGAGAAGTAATTTTCCCTTATGTAGTTTCAGTATGATATTTTAAGTGAGAGAAACCGTAAGAATCAATTTCAACATATTTGTTAAGTAGTAAATTTAGTAGTTATATTAAAGTTACGTAAGTAAACGAAAGGAAATATTAGTAAACCACAAAAATAATTGTCAGTTCTTGGCTCTAAGGGCAAAATTTATTGTTTCAATATATTATTGTAGGAATTTTACGATTTGTTTCATTGTTTTTATAAAAATGTTTGTTGCTTTCACAGATTATCTCTGCTTTTTATATTTAAAATAACTTTAATGTATTAATCTTGAGTATGTTTTAAATAATTGTTAATTTCTTATTTTCAATCTTGATACTTAAAATCATGATAATGTAAAACTAAACAGCTTTTAGTAATTATTTTTGAAAACTAAATACTAATAGAAAATTATTAAAAAAACTGATTTATGCATTAAAGTAAAATTAATTTCAATGCTTAATTCGTTTATTATTTTAAGTCAAATTAGTTTTAGTTGTTGGAACATAAACGTGATAATTTTATTCTATTCTAGATTTTATTTTGAATTACACTTATTTTTAACCAATTTATTCGTGAATGATCGACATTATATGGTATAATGGATTATATACATATTTTAATTTTTGTTTCTTCGGGTATAAACCTATAAGTAAAATATATTTTTTATTTTTGTTTATTTTATTTATTTATTTATTAAAACTAACAACTATCATGACAGAAATAACCTAATGCGACAGTGTAGTTCTTTTTATGCATAAAAAAATGTAGAAATTAACTGTAACAAATTGTAAACACTTCCACCCTAGTAAATTCACTCAAGGAGAAAAAGTATAGGTCAATGTCTTCAGCCATTCTATTAAGAATGCGTAACGTTCGCGTTAAAGGTGCTTTATCTAGTAATTTGGTTCGGGCGCGCGGCACGGAGAGCAGCCGCGGCCGCCGCCGTTTCCATACGTACCCGTCTGGAACACACAGCCCAATCCGTCCCAATATGTCACTATTATATATTTCTCCTCTAAGCACTTTAAAAATATATAAGGCTAATGCAAGGTCTCGTCTTACCCTCAACTCATTGTAGCCAATCATACCCAGAATAAATAAGGTTGGATACATTAATGGGTACATAGGGTAGACCCCATAATGACGCATATATAGGTATCTAATAAATTTATTTTGCACACGTTCTAGCATTGTGCTATACCTTTTTTCATGTGGCGACCATATTACGGCGTTACACTCCAGGTTACTTCTTACCAGTGTATTATACAGAGTAACGATTAAATTAATGTTAGTAAAACCGTGAACTGTGCGAAGAATGAAGCCCAAGTTTCTATATTCTTTTTTGCAGCAATAGAGAATGTGTTCCCTAAACGATAATTCACTATTTAGCGGAACGCCTAGATCTTTAATTTCTTTAACTCTTACCATTGGCGAACCATCGACTTCATAGTTATATTCAATGGGCGTGCGCTTTCTAGTAAATGAAATGGTAACACACTTGGAGGTGTTAAACTGTAAACGGTTATTATTGCTCCATGCCACTACTCTGTTTACGTCCTGTTGTAGCTTTTCACAGTCTGATAATGTTTCTACGACATGATATAACGTGATACCAAAATTGTATCTTTCTGAAAACATAGGTTAAAGATGTAAACTATAATATGTAGACACACAATAATTTGTCCTTTTTTTCGTGTAAACTATACTTTTACATTAAAACTGTAGCATAATGTTTTTTTTTTGTTTCAGATTAAATTGGATAACAGCATGGCTTACAAATTATTAATTTTGATTATAGCATTTGCAACAGTAAAAATTAACCTAACAGAAAGTAGACAAAGTGATAAGAGAAGATGGAAGAGTGACAAAAGCTTATACTCGCATTACGTAAATATTTGTGATATACAAGACAGAATATCGAAGGTTCATTGCTATTGTGAAAACATTAAGATTAAAACTGCGACAAAAGCTGACTGCTGGGTTTTTAATGGTGGAATTGCTGAAGACGATCCGTTCTGGTCTAATTTTTATTCACAACCAATGATTGAAAAATTAAGTTTCAACGTAAGAGCCGATGGAGGCTTAACATATATACCGGCGAAAATTATTGTTAGATTAGAACGTTTGCAAATTTTAAACATACAGTATGCAAACATTTACAGCATACCATCTTTCGCATTCACAAATTCAACATCGTTGCGTGAAATAATGCTACCCAAGGACAAAATAGTTAAACTAGAAAAAATGTCCTTTGCTCACCTTATAATGCTCTCAAATGTCAGTTTGATAGATAATCAAATATCAGAATTACAGAGAGACGTTTTTTATGACCTTCCTAATCTGCAAAGGTTATTTTTATCAAAAAATAAAATAGAAGTTCTTCATGACGGATGTTTTAAGCACTTGAATAATCTTATTAAGCTTGATCTTAGTAGCAATTTATTAGCCGTTATTGTACGAGAAAACTTTCAAGGATTATCCAATTTAATTAGTTTGGATATGAGAAACAATAAATTGATGATGATAGGCGACTTAGCTTTTACCGAACTTTGGAGCCTCCAAGAGCTCTATCTCGACAGCAATGAAATAGAATTTATTTCCGAAAGAGGTTTTGGTGGACTGATTCAGTTGCGAAAACTTTCCATAGCTGACAATAAGTTGGGAGTTATAGATAACAATGTTTTCGGCGATGTAAAAAAGTTGAATGTTTTAGATTTAAGAAACAATGAATTGGAAACCTTAATAGAGGAAGTCATGCAAAATGTTATTGAAAACTTTAAGTCTAATTACGCTTTTATTGCCCTTGGTGGTAAGTTGTAATGAATTATTAAGTATAGTTATTAACCTATTTCTATAAAATTTACCATATTACGATATATTAACATATATCTTTATTTCACAAACAGGACAAATAAACTTTAAGAGTGTAATAATGTTAATAGAATGACATACTTTTGAAGAATAGTTAGCAAGTTAAATAGAAAATGCACCGTTTAGTGGTGTCGTAAAAGGCGACATAGGGAAACAAAACAAGACATGGGCAGTAGCGTCTTTTTAATAACGACTGAAAATAAAAGTTGCGCTTACCAACCCCTTGCCAAGTGTGGCAACTATGGCATATATTCCTCTATGAGATAATCTACTGGGGAGGCTTATGTTCAGCAGTATACTTTATAAGCTGTAGGGGAACAGGAATTAAAAAAATCTTATGTATAAAATTATTATGCAATACTTTTTATGGTAATGTTTATATAAATTATTCGTACTGTACACAAATATTTATAGATTTATATTAGTTATTACATCCAAGCGATATTATAACAGTTTATTGTGTTACAGGTAACAAATTGCATTGCGATTGTAGTTTATCTTGGCTACACAAACTAAGTAATGAAACACGAAGTAGACGCGTCAAAACTGCTCTTGCCCGACTTAGTTGCATTAGTGATATTAAATTACCTATTACTAATTATTCTAAGTCTGAGAAAATTATTGACTCCTCTCACACGTTAAATTCAATGACATATAAAAAATCCTTCGAAAAAATGTATGATGAAGGGGAAGGAAATATTGAAGATGATCCTGTTTACGAAGACACGTTGCAAGACCAAGAAACTGAAATACCAAGTAATAAAATAGAATACCGGAGAAAATTATTGCAGATACCAGCAGAAATGTTGCCATGTCCGAGCAAGTACAGTTTCGAAGCATCCTTTTCTCCACCAACACAAGACGAAGTAAAATATTATAAATCATCTTCAAGTAGAGTAACAGCTTTAGTAACATATCTGATGACAATTATTTTTAATTTGACGTAGCATAATTAAAGGTAATATATTTTATTGTATTTAATCCAGAAAAGGAATTAAATGTCAGCATATATTTTCAAAATATATTAAAATATGAGAAACAATGACATGGGCTCACTGAGTTGAAAATAAGTTAATTTACAATCGATATTAAGGATAAAAACAGAAACAGAAAATGTTTCATTCAATATAGATTATAAATAATACATATTTAAAGTCACTTTCTTAATTTACCGCTGATTCGGAAAAAGCCTCTGTCCTGGAAAAACCAACAAGAAACCTAGCGGGACTTTAAACAAAAACAGCTTAAAATCATGTATGTTACAATTAGGAACACATAACATTATAAAAATAGGTTGGTAGCGATCACCTTTCCCAGGAGTTATTACCATCCATAATTTTTTTTAATATTATAATAATTCTTTTTATACAAACTTAGTTTAACAAACTTTTCGAACTTTGTGCAGGTCAAATTTTGTATAATTTCTGAGATGTTGTTGTAAAAGCGTATACATCGCTCAAGGAATGAATAACTGACTCGGTGGAGTCGAGAGATAGATAGAAAAAAACAATGAAAAAAGTCAGAGAAGGTAAAAATTACCTTGCCTATTTCTGCTCAATGAAATAAAATGAAGTGTCTTACCTACTTTGAAGAGCAATTTCCGCCCTCATTCAGTTGCGTGCACTATCCCCGTCACCACTAATCCCAGCACCACTACTCCCACTACCACTAAAGTATTATCGTCGTCTTTCTAGTGTAGTGGTATATTTAATAAAAATGGATTTCCGCAAAGTAACACCTGATTTTATTAATGAAAAAAAAAGTTGAAATTAATATTTATTGACACTTCTGTTTAACTGTAAATGATATTTCTTTAAAACAGGAATTAATTTTAAAAATCATTTTTTGCAATATTAGTATAACGAACGAGTTAAGAGTATCAGATTAGGCTATTGCTGGAGCCAATAGATACCTCCAACTAACTCCAAAGAAAGGAAGCCATAGATGAATGGCTTTCTGAAGGCAAAAATGAAAGGCCCCACAGCCTGTGGTTTAACTACTTTTTTATAAATTCTCGAAGTTTGAAATCTGCTAACGTAAACCCCAGGGTTTTCGTGGGTGCAGTAACAAGTAATACAATTCTACCCATTCTGACGGATCCCCAGACAAAAAAGGAGGTCAATAAACTAAAACTGACCGCGTAATGGCTGTATTGACCATGTAGTGGTATTGTAAGAATATCCACTGTCCCATATCGTCCTGTGTAAGTCTTACGAGGCGATAGAGGAAAACAAACCAGGAGATAGTTAGCAACAGTCTTAACAGTCATAGCGACTAAAAAGTGTGGAAACTATTGAAAATATCCCGCCTATAAGATAATCTATGAGTAAGCTTATACTGAGCAGTGGTCTTTGAATAGGCTGTAACGGAACTAATAAATGAAATGAAGTAATTTATTTAAAAAGTGACAAGAAATTTTGACTTAACGTAATATGTTTATATTTAATTATAGGCGTAAGAAAAAAAATCACATTGTCTTATCTTTATTTATTGTTCTTAAAGACTTAAATATTTTAATACTCTTCCGTATGAATTATGAAAGAAAATAATTTCTTACTATATCTTTTAGACAATCTTTATAATTTTACTGCAAAATTAAAGACTGTATTAGCCTCTTAATTAATTATTATAATAACTCTTACTGGTGAGATATTGCTTTGATTTATTATTTTAACCCAAAAAATATCTATTTTAAGGACCTAGTTTAGGCGGCTCTGTTCATAGTTTTGTGCATGTAAATAATTATCAACTTAAAATTATTAAAATGTTAATATATATTTTAAATCTATAATTCTAATGTGTGAAAATAATAAATTGGTACTTTTTCTGAAATAGTTTTATTATGATTTCTATCCTACATTTAGCACTACTATATTCCAGTAAACGTCGTTCTAATACATTTCACGAGGACCACTCGACAGCTATATTATGATTGTAGCACAAATGGGTCAACTCAACCGGGAAGGACCATGCACACACACACTTCTGATGTTGCCTGAGGTTTTAAATGCTATTCTGGTACAGGACGTCTCCGCGACAGTCTGTTCGTTATCGCATTTTACCTGCCGAGGAAATATTGGGCTGAAAATATTATGTTCCACTTGTCTATTATCTTCAAAAGTTGAAAGGTTAGAGATTAGAGTCCTATGAAATGTTTTCTTCCTTCTTTGCAATGCATAACAGTTTTGTTGTCTGTTTGTAAGAGCACATGATAGTCTCCGAGCTTCTTTGCGTTCTGACTAATTTCAGACAGTACAGCAAATATCTCTTTTTTGTTACAATACCGAGGCTGCTAGTACTGGCACAAACAGACCATGTCAGGTTTATGGGCACCTTGCCCATAAACCTGACATGGTCTGTTTGTCCAAAACAGCGGCCCATCCAATGTTGGAGGCATCTGTAGTCAAGAAGTATATTACATGTGGTAGGTAAACGCTGCAGCTATATTATGGTTGTAGCACAAATGGGTCGGCATGACCGGGGAAGGACCACGCTCTCACAGAATACCAACGTAAAATAGCAGCCTAATACTGCAAAGTTTCGTATGGCGAGTGTAGAGATCCGGAGAAATATTTCTCAGGACTAACTGAATACATTTGTTAGGCACTTCTTAAATTAATTTCTCCCTACTAGTTTCAATGAATTCAGCTCTTTTACCACATAAAACCTGTAAGATACCTTCAGAATTTTTATTAAAGGATGTACCTTTCCCAATAGCAGAGCTTATCTTTTGCGCAAGTGCAGCTCGGTGTAATTCATTGCTTTCAAAAACAGCATTTGATAATGCTGCCATTTTACGCTTTCAGTACCCGATAAATAGTTTTTTGTTTTGCTCAGATGACACACTTCATGATTTATCCTCAGTTGTGTAAACCCTGGGGTAGCGTTTTAAAACACTGTAGAGTCTTGTAGTATGTTACATTTTGCCATGTGGGTAGGCCAAAATATTACAATGTCTATCTTTTCAAACCCCTCCGGAAGGGTTGGTTTTATTATTTTACTTCCATCAATATTAATGGCTATTGAACCTAGATCAAGCACGGGATTTTCTTTTGATATAGTAAAAAAGTTATCATAAGTAAAGTAATATAGATCTTGTAGGTTATTTTGCGAGCTGCCGAGACTCTGCGTATAAATATTTGTTAAAAATCCTATCTATTTTATGAGTGCCTCCAAGCGTGGGTCTTCTTTTAAATTTCTTCTTTTGAAAGCAGGCCTTCCACTTTCGGACGGAGATGGAGACGATGAACTCGAAGAAAATGAGTCCGGCTCGTTCTCAATCGTATCCGTAACGTTCACATCCTTTTCCTCGACATGTTGAGGGGAATCAGCGTTACCAATCATTTCGAATAAAACTGTAGTATTTTTGCAGCGCAACTTAAATCTTATCTACTACGGCAGCGAGTAACACACGCAATGACACTAAAAGGAACAAAACACTAATATAACAGGGCGATCCCCTCCTTCCGGTAACAGTTCATAAACAACATCATGATTCTCAAGTGTTGAGGATATTTATGATTTGATCCACAATAGACGGTAGTATCAATAAAAATGTGAATGCACACTGATTCTTTAAAAGCGGTGGTGTGTTTTCTGATAGACACATAGTAACGCATTTTCGTTTGAAAGATAGATGTATGTACATGTCTAAGGCCCAAAACATCCACTTATTATCAGGTAACTGTATATTCCTCACTTTTATTCTTGAAAAATAATACTAATCGAATATAATAGAAAAAAAAACAAAAACAAAATATTTCATAATATCATCTATAGAGTTTAGTACTCTGGTACTCCAAAAGGCCATAATGACATTTTCTACAGCTTCTTATATTTTATTACTTAATTATTTAATGTTATATAACCAGGTTCTATAGTTATTAAATTAAATTAAAACATACGAAAATAAATTAAATTCTTTTTTATTAGTTGCTAATGTGTTTCCTATACTTTATAAGGTTTCCTTTGTGTAATACAAATATATTCATCCCGATCGATTTTACACGATAAAAGCTGCAAGCAATAGTTGGTAGCTTATTAACTTAGTACACAGTTATGAACGTAATATACTATAACCGATGCTTAAGATAAACATATTTTTCTCTGTGTTCTATGGTTGAATTGCACAGAATACCACATTTAAACTTGCTTACGTACCATATAAGAGTATCTCTATGTAGTTGGTATATCAGAATATACATAGGAAAATGAAAGTCAAGGTCTATTAAAAACTTAAAAAAAAGTTCGATTTACTTTGAAAAATAACACAAGTTACAAACATAGGGGAACAGGCAGCAATTACTTTAGCGTAACAAGCATTCTATTTAAAGAATTAAGAGCCACGCCTTTTAGTCTCGCCTGATTATTCTTTACGGAGGGAAAGCGACAGATGGTTAAAACATTAGTACTAATAACGCAACATATTGAGTAGAAAGTTACAGTGATAAATAGCTAAGGAATATTAGTGCAAGCGTAAAACGTTTTTAAATTATTGTATTATGAATTACAAAGAATTGTAGGGGACAACAGGAGATCGACGTTAAATTAAATTAAATTTTATGCAAGTTTCTAAAGTTAAATTCATACCGGCTTTACTGACATGGTTAATCGCAGTTTAAAGCGGTCAAGTGATAATAAACTATAGGGGCAATACATTCCTCAGAAATAAAGTTTGATTATAATATAATTATAGTAAGAGGACATTTGACAGCTCCGTGGCAAGGTGTCTTAGCAATGAGTTGCAACGCTGACAGTCGCGGATTAGAATCCCGCACGGAAGAAGTATAGTCTACAAAAAATGCTACGGGTGGTAAAATGCTACGGTATGTTTGTCCTGGTAAAATTCATATATGTACACTGAAACAGGAGAAAATCTTAGTTTTTTATAAAAACGACATGTGAACGAAACACAAGGCGATCACATTCTTATCTTTTTAGAAATGAG